GGGTCCTCTGTAAGAGTAGCAGGCGCTCTTAACCGCTGAGCCCTCTCTCCAGCCCCAAGCTTCATGTTTTCAAAGACATCTGAAGAGTTTCTTGACCACACAGCTGCATCTCCTTTCAGTGAGAACGTATAATATCACAACTTCAAAGAAGAGATCTTCACACCCTTCAGTAAATAGCAGAAAAGTCTAGTGGCTCCAAATGCCAACTAACCTTATGTTCTGGTATATTCCTATGAGTATGTTTCTGTCTTCACGGTCTTTCTCAATGCTGGGTTAGCTGTAGTCTCTGAGTCAGACAAGAATGCATTCATTTTGCTGAAGCCTGTGTGTTAGAATGCTACAAGCCTCTCTGGATAAGAAATGTAGCACCAGGAGCAGAGGAAGGCGGATCTCTGTGAGTTTGAGGCCAGCCTGATCCACAGAGCTAGTTCCAGGAACGCTAGAGCTGTTACACAGAGAAACCCTGTCTCAAATAATGAAGAGGAGGAGGAGGAGGAGGAAGAATAAATGTGTTCTAATGAAAGGATTCCTCAAGGATGGCTCAATGGAACCACCAGTCCAGGACAATCAATTGGATTAGATTCTTATTACCAATGTCATCAGATTCAAAGCCTAAGTCTTGGCAATCCTTATTAAATCAGTCTGGACCACCCATCTTCAATAGGCCATTTAAATAGACAAGTAACAGTGAAAAAGCAGATAAAGGAGATTTATTCAATGCTGCCATGCTGGGAAGAGTAACAAAGAGGTCTAGTGAGCCACACCCAAACCCATCATTGAGATCCTGATGTGAAGTTTAGTCTAAATAAAGGGCAAGAGGTACAAATAACTAAGCAGTCCTGGGGAAAATGTGATCCTGCCCAGTACTGACCAGCATTGCCTGGGTCCCAGTCTCTCCTGCAAGGTAGTCTCTCACAAGTTGTGTGGAATCACTTCCTGAGAGACAAGCTCCTCTTCTGGCTGGCCCCAGGTTCTGGTCTTTTCCTTTCCCAGCATGGGACTTCCAGTTTCTTGGGGTCCATTGCTTCAATAGTGTGATAATCAAAGGGAGGGGTGCTATGTCTCTTCAGAATGTCTTCATTCCTGCCTGTATGGTTGTATTATCCCTCTGGCCTAACTTGGATTTGAAAAGGGACCTTTCAGCACACAGTAGGGACGACAGAAGGCATGGCTCTTCTGGAGAACATCTCAGTGTGCAAAGTGATAATGGCAATAGGTCAGCCATGGATGTGCACAGGGGCCCAACTTTTCTAACCACTCCAACAGCAGTTTAGAAGCCCGTACAACACTTGTTTTCCTTCCTCCACGAGACTGTCCTGCTTTTAATTCTCCAAGCTAAACACACTGCCTCTGGTTGCCTGGGCGACAGCCTGTAAACTAAGCAAGTCTCCTTGCACTGAGCCAAAGGGTTTGTGCACCCAGAACCAGTTTTAAATACTTTTTAAAAATAAAGTGTTTGGACTGTGCAACGCTGGAACGGGATCAAAGGAAAGGTTCTAAATCTATGCTGCTTTTAAATGGAAACCTAGTGGAAGTGAGGGTTGAGAGCTGGTCCGGAAATCAGAGCCATGAAGAGGTAGGATGATTTGCGCCGCTACTCGTCTGGGTGCTCCTTCAGCTGTGCCCCTCAACAAAATTCCCTCAGCCAAACACACACTAGGTAAGTCAAGTTTCCATTTTTCACCCTGCTTTAGATAACACAGACTGCTGCAACTTTTTGTTTTCCTACCGGAAGAATGTCCCAGGGGAGGAACATCAGGTAAACTGACAGAAGAAACTGTATCCTAATCTCGAGTAATTTTATCCTTAGAGTTGTAAAAAGCTAGTTTTGACTTTACAAATAATCCCTTCCAATACTTTGTGGAAATGCCTCCAGACCATAGGGAAAACTAGTAATGACAAGGAAGGCTTATTAATAAAAATACTCTCTTCCATTGAATACTTTGTAGAGATAATCTTGAACTTTAATCACCTAAATATTTGTAAATTTTTTTAACTCCTCAATATTGTATACACATATTTTGGGGCACATTTTATTAACCTAAAGTCAAGTTTCAGTTGCTTTAAGCCTTTTCCATATAATATTCCAAGCCAAATGTAGAATAAAACAAAAAGTTTTATTGGGAAAATGGTCATGCTCTCATGTGAAACTTAACAAAACTCACTGGACCACAAAACAAAGACAACAGAAAACATGAAAATAGAAGGGAGTTCAGTTGGGAAGAGGAAGGGGTCAGGGTGTGTAGGAGGGAGAGGAAAATAATGGGGATGAATATAATAAAAAGAAATTATAAATATATGAATACGTCATCGTGAAATGCTGTGTTGTATATGACTGGTTATAAAAATTTTGACTTTTCAAGTCCATAACACATCTAAGAACAAAGATGACTGTTATCCAATAGAAGATAAACCTTATAGAACAAAATATTATTGTTTAAAAAAATCATTGCTTGTAAAATACTTCTATATAGGAAATGGAGAAAAGTTTTGTTCATGAGAAACTTAACACTGAAATGTTCAGGCTGAAGTCAGAGGAGGAAATGACATTCATCCGCAAGAAGCAGCGACTGACGTGTGGAGACACTACAGGTGTCCTTGACTGTCTTTCTTTAGGCATCTTTGACTGTAACTTAGATCACCACATAGGGATTACATTGCCGGTCTTCTAGTGACTAGATGACTTTGACATCGCAGTTTTGCTAAATTCACATATTTATTTATTTATTTATTTATTTTTATATTAGCAAGCAGTTACTACTTGTGAAATTCTTTCATAAATGTTATGCAAGGTGTGATGGTATATAATGCCATATCAGCACCCAAAAGACTGAGGCAGGGGGATGGAGAGTTTGGAGCCAAGCCTGGGACCTAGGTCAGTCTGAACTGCAAAGCCAAACCCTACCGAGAAACAAACACAAACAAAAAGGTTCCAGGCAAGAGTTAAAGCACAGACTCTAAAACATTCATTGCTAGGTAACAACCTTGGAGAAAAATAGTTGGGTACTTGAGATTTTAGTTCTCCTTTATGAATAATCCGATGACATAAATACCGATTTCTCCTGGTTGTTATTTGAATACATGGTTTTTAGATTTATTGAAGGACAGGCTGTAATTATCCTGTTTATGAAAGCATTAATTAGCCTTAAAGTGATATTGCATTTTGATAAAAAACTTACAAAGATAAATCCAAGTTGCAAAATGATTTTCTAGGATGTGTATGTGTACTGGCTTGAAATTTTTCTGTGGTCCAATTTTGAACATATTGTCTGTTCTTGCTTCCTTTAGTGAAGTTCCAAGCTTGACACTTATTAAATGCTAAGGACTGTATGATGACTAAGTCACCACAGTCAGCCAAATGGCTGCTTAGAAGAACTCCAAGAAAACACCCAGCATTGGCGGTGCTGCTACTTGCTGAGGTCATTCTGGAGAACGTTCTGGCATGTTTTAGTGAAATTGAATATCTTTGACATATAAGGCACAAGCAGACTATTGGACTATGTATAACAAGTCTCCAGTAGAAATATTATCACAGTATTGTTTGCAGGGTGGAACACTAGAGGCAACTGAGATGCCCATCACTAAGAGAAGCAATAATAAATACAGTAGATACAGAATAAACAATTGGAGGTTACACACAAACACATGGATGTACTTAAAACAAAGGTTTAAAGGTAGCAAGTTATGCATTACTATATACATATTTTTTATTTTATTTATTTTTAACTTTTGGGTTTCTTTTTTTTTTAAAGATAGAGCTTCTCTGTGTATCTCTGGCTGGCTGGAACTAGCTCTATAGACCAGGCTGGTCTCAAACTCACAGAGATCCACCTGCCTCTGCCTCCCAGGTGCTAGAATTCAAGGCATGTAACCACCACTGCCCAGTAAATCTTTAAAAATAAAATAATAAATTTACATAAATGATATTGTAATGTGCCAGGTAGTGGTGGTTATATGCCTTGAATTCAGCACCTGGGAGGCAGAGCCAGGTGGATCTCTGTGAGTTTGAGGCCAGTCTGGTCTACAGAGCTACTTCCAGGCCAGTCAGAGCTACACAGAGTAACCCTGTCTCAAAAAAAGAAAATAAAAAGAAAAAAGGTTTATTTATTTACTTATTTATGCATATGAGTGTTTCATATGCAAAAAATGTCTGCACACCAGAAGAGGACATCAGATGCCATGGCACCACAGTTAGAGACAGTTGTGAGCTACCATGTAGGTGCTGGGAATTTAACTCAAGACCTCTGATAGAGCAACCAGTGTGCTTAGCCAATGAGACATCTCTCCAGCCCTGATACTTTTATTTTTTATTACTTTTTCATTTAGTGTATAGGTGTATGAATGTATGTCTATGTCTTTGTGTCTCTGTGTAAATGTGTGCCACAGCACACATATGGAAGTCAAAGAATCAATTCTCTCCTTCTACCATCTGGGTCCTGGGAATCAAAATCAATTTTTTTTTTCCGTGAGTCCTAAAGAATTGAACTCAGGTCCTCATGCTTGCAGAGCAGGTGATCTTAGCAACTGAGCCATGTACCCAGACCCTATGTATTATATTTTATATCTGTATATGTATGATGTGCATATGTGTGTGCATACATGGTATGTGGATATGCACACATGTGTATGTACATACAGAGGCCTAAAGTTGATGTTAGGCATTTTACTCAGTCATTCTCCACTTTAATGAGGCAGGGTCTCCAAGCCTAGCTACTATTACTAGCACCTTGTCCTGAGGATCCTCCATCAGCCTCCTGAGTGCTGAGATTATAGGTGGTTACCAAGCCTGGTTAGCTTTTATTTGGGTCTGAGAATTTGAACACACTGAGCAGCAAGTGCTTTGTCCACGGAGCCATCCTTCATCCCATCCTGTTTTTCTTCAGAAGGAATGAAGTAACAATAAAAGCAGACGATATTACATTGGAACCACCCACTGTTTTGCCGGCCTTCATGTCATTAAGTTATTTTCCCCTTTAAGGCAATTATACGGAACCAGCAAGATGAACAAAAACAAACTGATTCATGATTTCCTGGAAGTGGTTTCCAGGGGAGATGTGGAATGCATCTGTGGCCATATTCCTGAAGTCCATTCAGTCCTTGGGAACCTTGACTTCCAGCACCCACAGACCGGAAATACGCCTCTCATTACTGCAGCAGAAGAAAATCTATCAGAGGTACAGTGGGGAGGGAGAAAATGGAGTCTGCAGGAAGCAAAGAGTATTTGCCTTTGGTTTTCTGAAGCATGGTAGCTTCCTGTTCCTCCACCAACAAAGTTCTGTTGCCAGGCCTTGCAGAGCCCTAGCTCGGGGGTCAAGATCATTATGAAAGTACTGTTTTCTGATAGATCTGGGGGATTTTCAGCCTTTATTATTATTTTTAAGCCTTCAATCGCTTATTAGAAAGAATGTAGACATAAAAAACAAAAACATAAACTCACACATGAGCACCCAAAGGCCTATTTCCCAGGTAATTCTAGGTGCTATCAAGTTGATAATTAACACTATTGCTGATCAGGGTGGCACACTTCTTTAATCCTAGCACCTGGGAGGCAAAACCAGGTGGATTTCTTAGTTTAAGGTCAGCCTGCTCTGTATAGTAGTCCCAGAACAGCCAGAGCTACACAGAGAAACCCTACCTTAAAAAAACAAACTAACGGGGCTGGAGAGATGGCTCAGAGGTTAAGAGCACTGGCTGCTCTTCCAGAGGTCCTGAGTTCAGTTCCCAGCAACCACATGGTGGCTCACAACCATCTGTTATGAGATCTGGTGCCCTCTTCTGGTGTGCAGATATACATGTGTGCAGATATACATGGAAGCAGAATGTTGTATACATAATAAATAAAATCTTTGAAAAAAACAAACTAACAAAAGATAGTTAACACTATCACACCACAGCTGGTCTTGAGCTTGCTATAGCCAAAGATGACCATGAACTTCTGATCCTCCTTCTTCTACCTCCCATGCACTGGAATCATAAAAGTGTGGACCACCACGTCCAGTCTTTGCAGTATTAGGACAAATTCTAGGGTTTGTGCAGGCCAGGCAAGCATTCTACCATTTGAGCTCTATCTTCTGCCTTTGTAAGAACTGTCTGCTAAAGTCCTCCAGGACTTTGAAAGACAGCTCAGTGGTCTTCTTCATTGACACCACTCTAGTCCCCTGTGCTCATCTCCATCTCTACATTCACCCACTGCTGCTTTCTCATCATCCCCACATCCCCTGCATCCCCACAACACTATGAGTAGCTTGAAGTCTGGGTTGTTACCTGCTTCACTGTGTAGGGCTTAGACCAAGAAAAATTCATGACACACACTGGGCACCTATTCTATACTTGTTGAAAAATCTAATCACTTCAGCATTTGAATGTAGTTTACTCACTCTTCAGAAATACGTAAAAAAAAAAACTGCAACTTTCAGAACTTTATAAGCCAACCTAAGCTGGAGTAGAGTGCACTTGCCTAGCAAGCACAAGACCCTGAGCCCAATACTTGCTCCTCTGCAGACAGCTAAAAGACACGTAGCTAAATACCAGATCATGGGGAGGCAGCGGGGAGGTATAAGATAAGTAGACAGATGATATAGGTAGATAGATGGTAGATTGATTGAGATAAGTAGATGATGGGCAGGCACATAGATAGAGATGATAGGTATGTAGATAAATAATAAATAATAATTGATGCTAGGCAGAGAGATGATCAACAGATGGTAGAGTGTTTGCTTAGCATGCATGAAGACCTGGTTTGAGCCCCAGCACCACATCAACCAGGTGTCATGGCACACACTTACAATTCCAGCACTTAGGAGTAGAACAAGTGAATCAGAAGTTCAGGGTCATCAAAGCTAGGCTGAACTACATAAGATCTTGATCTTGTCTCAAAACAAACAAAGATTTCAATGCTTATGTGTCCTTAGAAGAAAATATTTATAGACCTCTAGTTTAAAAATACAGTTCTCAGAAATCACCCATATCACAGAGTCTTTGTTGTTAATTTAGGGTTTTTTTCCGGGGGTGGGGAGGATGTGGAGGGGTAGGGTGTCACTATGTAGCGAAGGTTGGTCTCAAAGAGAGATCTGCCTGTCTCTGCCTCCCAACGTGTTGGGATTAAAGGTGTGCCCCACCATACCAGCCATCACAGAGATTTGGTTTTAACATTTAGAAAGGTAAATAATAGTTCCCTGAATTCAAATATTTTGTTGTGGTGGTCCTGGGGGGGATACTAGGCATGAGCTCCCACCACTGAGCTATACCCCCACTCTTACCTGATTTTGCTTTATTGGGAATGAGAGCCAAATCCAAACTAGTCTTCTATCTGGCCCTAAAGGTACAGCTGCCACTCAAAAACATGAAGAATTCTGGAGATGGAGCTAGAGAGATGGCACAGTAGTTAAGAGCACTTGCTGCTTAATCATGAAGACCAAAGTTGGCATCCCAGTACCCACATAGGACAGCTCACAGATAACCAAAGGATCTGATTCCCTCTTCTCGTCTGCATGACTACCCACCCCCAACTCACAGAGATACACACAGAGAGACACACTCACACACACAAACACACACACACATACATACTCATACACACTCAGAGAGATATACAAAACATTAATTAAGTTAAAAATAACTTTGTAAGCTAGGAGGTGGTGGTGCACGCCTTTAATCCCAACATAGGCAGGTGGATATCTGTAAGTTTGAAGCCAGCCTGATCTACAATAGCTAGTTCCAGGACAGCTAGGGCTACATAGAGAAACCCTGTCTTGAAAAACCAAAAACCAAAACAAACAAACAAAAAATAACTTTGTGGGCCAGGTATGGTGATAATATCTTGAATACTAGCAATCAGAAAGCAAAGGTATGCAGATCTATTTGAGCTTGGGGCCAGCCTGATCTACTTAGCAAGTTCCAGACCAATCAGGGTAGCAGAGTGAGACTCTCTCTCAGAAGACAAAAACAAACAAACAAACCTTTAAAAATTGGGTGGGGATGGGAATATGCTCAACATATATAATTATGAACATTTAAAAAATAAAAATAAAAACACATCTTTGAATCTTAAGGACATTACTGTTTCACAGGTTGTTGAGATTCTTCTAGAGAGGGGAGCAGATATCACCCTCTGCAATTACAACAATCAAACTGCCATCCATGTGGCCAATGGTGACATCCGAAGACAGCTCTTGGCAGACAAGAGAATTCAAGCTCCACAAATGCAGCTGCTAAGAAGTTCGTGGCAAGGGGATCTTGAACAGCTTCAACACTTGCTGGTTAGTTACAGTGTTTACTTGTGGAGGGGTAGACAGATATGCTGAAGACAGATTACACCTTCACATGCCCGATACAGGACTCATTTATTTCTATTCACATTTAATTTTTTTATTTTTGTTTTAAAGTGTGTGTGTGTGAATGCAGGCATGAATGCTCACAGAGGCCACAAGAGGATGGCAGATCCTTTGGAGCTGGCGTCACAGGCAGTTTTGAACTGCCTATGCTGGGTTTTGGCAGCTGAACTCTGGTCCTCATGAAAAGAGTAGCAAGTACTCTTAACTGCTGAGCCAGCTCTTCAGCCCCCAACGCTTCTTCCAAAGAGGAGAAAGTTATTTTCAAACTCAATGCCAGAAAGTCTCTCTCAGGAGAGACGAGAAAGATTCAGGACTAGACAGGACACAAGTAGAAAATGAGGTTCTAGAAGAACAGAGAGACAACCTATTTCCACCCCCCTCTATCTAAGAGCAAGAAGTCAGGCAGCACCCCAGGGAAATGATGAACCCCAGGAAGACCCAGAGGACCGCTGTCAGCTTGCTCAGAGCAGTTCCCTGGATATCACTGCCATTTGCACAGTTGCTGTTTAGATCCCTTTGGGCCACTGGCAATTATTATCGTTATCCTGAAAAGGGAATCAGAGAGCTTACACATTGCACAATATTTAGCTGTGCCCAAAGAACTTTAGGGCAATATGTTTTTGTGTGTGTCCATGTGCACATGTCTGCATATGTATGTGAAGGCCAGATCAACTGTAGGTATCACTTCCTCTAGTGCCATCCACCTTGTTTGTTTGTTTGTTTGTTTGTTTTTGAGACAGTCTCACATTTGCCTGGATCTCACCAACCAAGTAGGATAGGCTGACCAGCCAGGGCTCCTCTTGTCTCACCTCCACAGCACTGGGGCTAAAAGTACATGCCACACCATGCTGTGGTGTGACAATATTCCTGTGAAGGTATAAGCAAGCATCTACTCATCACAGATAGGAAACTGAAAACAAACCAAAGTATGGATACCGAAAAGTCCAACTTGGTGAATTAGCGAGTTTTATTGGGGTGACTTACAGGATATATGTGAGGGGGTTCCTACAGGAGCATAAATGTCTCAAAGGGAGCTGCAACACCAAAGCCCACTCAGGCACAGGTGACAGCTCCTGAAACCTGGAACCTGGAGTTTACTGCACAACCTGCAGCAGCTCAACAGGTTAGAGAATGTCCTTTGCAAGTAGCTCAGTTGGTCTGAATCTCTAGAGGTGGCTGGCTGCTGGCTGCTGGCTGCTGGCTGTTTCTTCCAGGCAGTTCAGCTTGGCTCTGCTTCTTCTGTGCTGCAAATCTGAGAGTGACACTCAGTAGGCCATAGGAGAATGAATTTGGCCAGTTTCAGGAACTTCCTGAAGCTATTTTGAGTTGTCTACATCCTGTCTTAATAAGATTCCCTGAAAGATGGAACATTTGACCTCCATTTAGAACATCCTGCAGTTTTACCTTCCTTTAACACCCTGTGTTTTAGTGAGTGCCTATCCAAGATGGACGTTTTTAATCTCAGAGGAAACTACTATATAACATGGGCCTGGATTTTTATGTGGACTCTGGGGATCAGATTTTGGTCCTCAAATTTGCATGGCAAGTACTTTACCAACTGAGATGCCTCTCCAGCCTGAAAATACATTTAGAAAAAGATTTTATTTCTGTTTTTAATTGTGGGTGTTTGTGTGTGCATTTGGGCACATGGGTACAGTGCCTCTGGAATCCAGCAGGGAATTGATTGGATCCTTTGGACCTGGAGTCACAGGTGACTGTGAGCAACCCAGCCTAGATGCTGAGAACAGAACTCAGGTCCTCTGCAAGAGTGTTGCAGGCTTTTAACCACTAAGCCATTTCTTAGCCCCAAGAATATATGCATTAAATGTTGTCTTTTGGGGTAACTGATACTCTTATTTAGATTTGTCACCCCAAAGCACCTTGTGAAATTGTATGCCTAACCAAGGACTTTAATTATTAGCAATTTCTCACTAGTAGGAGTGACCCATGTGATCTTCCAACTGAAAGAAAATCAATATTGCTGCTAGGAAACAGTCTTTCCCTAACCCTTTATGATAAAGACACAAACAGATCAAGAAATAAAAGCTATCTTAGCCAGGTGGATTTCAAGGACAACTGTAACAAAACCAAAGGACATTTTTTTTCATGCTTTTGTTGTACTCAAAGACAGTTTAAAATGTCATACTTCCCAAGCTGAGGCTTAGAAAAATTTCCAAAAGGCAATCCATTTTTCTTAATGGCAGTCTTGTCATATGTAACTGTAACCCCATCTCTGTTTTCATAACCGCAATAGTTTTTTCATTTGTTTATATGCCTGAAGAATTAATGACCAAGCTTTAAGGAACTATTTTTTGCCTGGAATGTGGACCCAAGCTTAATCAAGAGATGCTAAATTGACATGCTGTTGCAATATGACTCCCAGCTCAAAACTCTCATATCAGCTCTAGATAATAGTAAGCATTGATCTAAAAGGTAGTTTCTTCTCAGAGACTGAGAAAAAAAATTAACTAATTCCCATAGCACCCTGCTGAGGTAATATCATTATCTCCATTTTGCCCCTGGAGAAGCTGAGGTAAAGACTATATTGCCATGGCAGAAAGTGAAACAGAGGTGAAAACTAGCAGGTTACTTTGTTCTATAAAACAAGCAGTTTGTGTATTTTTGGCCTTCCAACAGATTTTTAATTCTGATGGCCTGAATTAAATCTCTCTCTCTCTCTCTCTCTCTCTCTCTCTCTCTCTGTGTGTGTGTGTGTGTGTGTGTGTGTGTGTGTGTGTGTGTGTGTGTGTGTTTTCTTTTCCAGATTTCAATACTAGGTGTTTCTATCAATCACTGCTTGTCTTTCCATCTTTGAAGACAATGTCTCTCACCAGTTTGGTTAGACCAGCTGGCCAGCGAGCTCCAGGGATCCTCTGGCTCTGCTTCCCCATTCCTGGGATTATAGGCATACATTGCCACACTGGGCTTTTCCTGAGGGTACTGGGGATTTGAACTTGGGTCCTCACAGGCAAGCATTTTTACAAGTGAAACCATTTTCCTAGCCCAAATTTATTTATTTATTTATTTATTTATTTATTTATTTATTAGTTTTTCATTTTTTTGTTTTTCAAGACAGGGTTTCTCTGTGTAGCTTTGGAGCCTATCCTGGCACTCACTCTGCAGACCAGGCTGGCCTCAAACTCACAGAGATCCACCTGCCTCTGCCTCCTGAGTGCTGGGATTAAAGGCGTGTGCCACCAACTTTCAGCCCAAATTTATCTTTACTAAAGCAACTAATCATATCTACATGTCACTTCTGCTTTGACTGTATAAATGCAGTTAAATGGCATGGTTTCCTATTGCAAATCATTCAGTCATCAGTGTTCAGGGAACACCTGCCCTGTGTAAGTCATACTGCTAAGTGGTTTTCATATTGTGTCACTAGTTGTGCAAGCAACCCTACAGGGAAACACTGGATGTCACCTGTTCAGTGCAACTTAGAAGGATAGTAAATAGGGTTGCTAGAGTTAGCAGAAGGATCAGTGGGTAAAAGCTTTTACTGGTCAAGCCTGTCACCCAAAGTTCTATGTCTAAGACCCACAGTGGAAGGAGAAAACCAACTGAGCTTGTCCTCTGATGGAATGTGCACACCTGCATTCAAACACACACACACACACACACACACACACACACACACACACACACACACACAATACCAGTATACACACACTGTAAGATATTTTAACATAGGGCTACCAGATTTTGCAAATAAAAATACAGGATATCCAGTTATGTTTGGTATATCAGCTATAGAAGTGAGGACATTAAATTTACATTTCAGATAAACAAATTATTTTTCGGTGTATGTACCAAATAAAAAATGCTGAATTATTCTTCCTTTAACTTCTCCTCCTTTATTTTACTAAGATCATTTGTTTTCTGTGCACTTGTGGATATGTAGATCTTCATGTGCATGTATGGACATATGTGTGCAGATGGAAGCCAGGCAACAGGGGTTTTTCTTTAATCACTCTGTCTCTCTGTCTGTCTGTCTGTCTGTCTCTCTCTCTCTCTCTCTCTCTCTCTCTCTCTCTCTGCGCCCCCCTTCTTTTTCTTTCTTTCTTTTTTTTAGAAGACAGTCTCTCACTTGCCCAGAGATTGTTAAGTCATCTTCCACCTCCCCTGACCACGCCCTCACAGGCATGGCCAGGCACACCTGTAGGAGCTACTAGGAGGCGGGGCTACAGAGTCTCCCTACAATTCCCCTTTAGTCTAAAAGAGGATTAAAACTTAATAGTGTAAAACATCCCAAATTAACAATCATAAAGGTGAAATACAAGAAATTACAATAATCTGCTATTGCACATCCTAACTATGTCTATTCCGGCTAAGCCCTAAAGTCATGTGGAAAGGGTGTCCAATTTGAACACCTCCTTCCAATCCCAACTCTAAACAATAACTATATAACTAAAGCCTAAAGACGTGTGAAAGAGGTGTCTAAGCCTGAACACCTCCTTCCCATCCCAAGCATAAACAATAGGAAACTATCCCTAACTAGGTATACATTATCCTTAGCAACAATGATGAGGGAAAGGGGGTGTAGCATTCTCCAAGTTACTTCCTGCTGAATTGGGATGACAATAGCCTCGTGGGGTCCTGTAGGAAGAAAATGTTAGTATAGTGAAAGTCTCGAATGGATTGTATCCAGTCCATGTTAGGTGGGATTTGCTTGACTGGAGATCTAGGTTGAAGTCCTCAACTTAATTGAAGTTCTTGTGTTGATTGAAATCAGTACTCTGGCTAGAGTGTCAGTTGAAATGGAGCAAGTTGGATCCAGAGTAGCCTAGGAGGTGTGGTCCATTTTCTTTCCGGAGCATCCAGGGATTGCTCTCAGGCAGGTCTTCATTGGCTGGGTGGGACTCAAACATAAGTGTTAGCAGAGAAATGTTTGCTTGTGTGCGTATGCATACCGGGAAAGGCAACCATGGGAAAGTAACAACTATGAGAGGGTGTACACCTTGAGAAAAAAAGCCAAGAAAAGACAAAAGACAGTCCCCAAATTTTCTCTTATTCTGTATTACATCAATTGGCTTCTTGATATAATACAGAAACTATAAAGTTTAGTTAAACAAAGTGCTTGGATTATAGAGGAGGAAAGCCAAATCCAACTCCAAATCCAGCATCGAGTTAATTGAATGGGGATTAGGAGACGAAGAGAAATAGGCGTAGTGGAAATTGTTTTATGATCAGTATTCTTTTGTTTGATGGCTATAGTTACTTCCTCTTTTACCCATGTAGTGTCCTTTGATTTCTGGAAATGAGTTTTCCTGTGAAAAGAAAAACAAAACACTTCCCTTTTCTTTATGAGGTTTCTATTTAGTTTATGAAATATACCTTGGTAGAATACCCGTCATTTCTCCTCGTTGAGAGGGTTTTCCTTTTCAACTCGAATCTTGAACCAAAGTTTTTCTTCTACTGTGGAAACAAATGCAAAACCCCTCCCCCAAAGTAACACATCTCCTGGTTTCCATTACAGAGGTTAGTACATCTTTGAAGTATACCGGCTGATTCAGTTCAGCAGTTTTTTTGGTAGTTCAGTGTCTTTATGCAGCTGTTTGTCCCTTCTCATTGGCATTAAGAAAGTTTAGTGTTAACAAAGCATTATGTTACCTATGTTTGGGGGTTTTTGTTCCTCCAGCCTGTTTATGGAGCATTTCCTTTAGTGTTCTATTAGATCTCTCAACCACTGTCTGTCCCGTAGGATTGTGTGGTATACCGGTCACATGTTTTATGTTATAATATTTGAAAAACTGTTCCAATTTAGTGGAGACATATGCTGGAGCATTGTCAGTTTTTACTTGTGCAGGTATACCCATAACGGCCATCACCTCTAGCAGGTGTGAAATAACAGAATCTGCTTTTTCAGAGTTAAGAGCAGTAGCCCATTGGAACCCTGAGAATGTGTCTATAGTATGATGCACATATTTCAAATTTCCAAATTCTGCAAAGTGAAGGACATCCATCTGCCAGACCTCATTTCTCCAAATGCCCTTAGGGGGCGTGGTTACAGTGTCTCCCTACAGAGGTATAGCTCAGTGCAATCCCCATTCCAGGAAAAAAAATGTTAAAATGAGAATTTTGCCAAGCAATGAAAATGCAAGGATTGGTTTTAGTAGCAATATAGTAAAAACACAGCAGAAACCAAAACTCTTGTTGTTAAAGGCATCTGAAGAGTTCCTGGATATAAATTTCCCAAACCTGCATGGCCTGACCCCTCTGATGCTGGCTGTGAGAGATGTGGACCTATTTGAAAGTCTGGATGTATTAACTGTCTACAAACCTGCAGAAGTTCTAGCCGAGCTCCTCAGGCATCATGCGTGAGTATGGGTGGTCAGTCAGCACCAGCTGAAAGACAGTGATTCCATTGTAATTTTCCAGAATAATGTAAACCTAGATGTGTGGATTGTTTCGAGGCAGAGGCAGGCAGATCTTTGTGAGTTCGAGGCCAGCCTGGTCTACAGAGTGAGTTCTAGGACAGGCTCCAAAGCAACACAAAGAAACCCTGTCTTGAAAGACCAAACAAACAAACCAACAAACTTTGAGGAATGGACTAATATTTGAATTGATCATTATTCTTAAGACATCTAGCTCTTTATTGGTTTAGATAATTGCTCTTTGGACACTGGACATGTAGTTCAGTTGGTAGAGTACTGGGTTCAATCTCCTGCCAGATGTTGTGGTATCTGTTATCTCAGTACATGGGAAGTAAAGGAAGGATCAGAAGTTCAAGGTCATTTTCAGCTCCACAGTTGAGTATGAGGCCAGCCTAGAATTACAGGCATGGGCTACCATATCTTGCTTACTTAGCATTAGGGATAGTATACCGGGTTTTGTGCATATTAGGTGTTGTAATTTCAATGTAATTGGCCCCCATAAGCTCATAGGGAGTGCCACTATTAGGAGGTGTGGCCTTATTGAAGTAGGTGTGCTTTGTTGTAGGAAGTAGGAAGCCCACTGTGGGGGCAGGCTTTGAGGTCTCCTTTCTACTCAAGCTACACCAAGTTCAGTTCACTTCCTGTTGCCTACAGATCAAGATGTAGACCTCTCAGCTCCTTTTCCAGCATCATGGCTGCCTGGACGACACCATGTCCAACCATAATGATAATGGACTAAATCTCTGAAACTGTAAACCACCCCAATTAAATGTTTTCCTTTATAAGAGTTGCTGTGATCATGGTGTCTCTTCACAGCAATAGAAACCCTAAGATGTTAGGCAAGCACTCTACCAACTAAGATACAACACCATCCATCTTGTTTAAAATTTTGAGAAATGGTCACACCCTAGCTCCTATGTTTGTAAATCATTATTATGTCCCTGACTTAAGTTTTCTGCTTATTTATTTCTGCTTATTATTATGTCAATGTTCTTGTGTCTTAACAGATTTAACCTAATAATCTTTGATGCTTCTTCTATTCTCCCCAGAGATCCTAAACTTTGTGACTTCAGTGGCAAGTCAGCAATACATTATGTGTCACAAATTGCAAGTTGGAGGAAACAGCAGCTACTGGACATCCTGATGAATTCTATACCCAAACCAGGTCAATATTTCTTTTTAGATGCATATTCCCCAGTTTAAAAGTCCTGTTTGAAGTCTGTCTTTCTGTTTCACATTTGTTGAATAGCTCCATTTTTTGTTTGTTTGAGACAGGATCACACCTGTATATACCTTGATGGCCTAGAACTCAGTATATAGACCAGGCTGGCCTTGAACTCACAGAGCTCTGCCTGCCTCTGTCTTACAAGTGCTAGGATCAAGGGTGTATGCCATTATACCCTACTTCATTTAAATGAATCAAATCAGTGTCTCTTTATTGAGCAGCGACTCTCTGAAGCACAGGATTAATGATCTAATGATCTAAAGGATGTAAAGAAGTCTTGCTCCACACTCTTATGTATTTGTGTGTCTGTGTCTATGTCATGTGTAGGTCAGAGGTCAACCTCCAGTGTTTTTCTAAGGATGCCGTACATCTTGCTTTTTTATTTTTTTTAAGTAATTAATTTATGTGTATGAGTGTGTGCCTGCTTGTCTATATGTGTACCATATGTATGCTGTGCTCAAGGGGCCCAGAAAAGAGTGTTAGATGCCCTGGAACAGGAGTTATAAGCGACTGTGAGCCACCGTGAATTATAGAAAACAAGCCTGGTTCTCTTCGATAACAGCAAGTGCTTTTAACCAATAAGCCACCTCTCCAGCCCCCACACCTTGTTTGTTTGAAACTAGGATCTCTCACTTTTTCCTAGAACTTGCTTATTCAGCTAGGCTGACTGTCTAGTTAGCCTCAGGAATCCACTTGTCTCCACCTCCCCCAGTATTGGGATTACAAATTCACACCACTCGGGCCTGTCTTCTTTTTCTATTTTGAAATGTATTTATTTTAATTTTGTGTGTATGGATGTTTTGCTTGCCTGTGTGTCTGTTTATCACATATGTGCTTATCACCGATGGTGGCAAAAAGAAGGCACCAGATTTCTTGGAGTTACAATTGTGAGCTACCATGTAGGTACAAGGAATCAAACCCAGGTCCTCTGGAAAAGCAATCAGTGTTCTTAACCACTGAGCCATCTCTCTAGACCTTCTTTTAAATTCAGGTTTGGGGGGACTGAACTCAGCTCCTTTTGCTTGCAGGAAAGCACTTTGTCAACCGAGCCTTCTCCCAAGGGTTAGGTATCTAAGTGACTGGTCTTCATAAATCCTCACATCCTCACATTACATTTTACCTTGATTTCTCTTGCTATCATATTGTGTGTGTGGGGGGGGATAATCCTCATGAGACTCTTCCGAGGCAATTCAAGAGAGCAAAAGGCCAGTTATTAACCAGCTTAGCCTTCAGTATTGTAAGCAAATCTATTTGGAAGAGAATAGAGAGATCTTCTCCCACCCATCCACTAGCAGAAGTCCATTCAAGGGGTCATCTTGTGAAAGGTGAAGGGCAGACATCCTTTCTTTCTGTAGCACTCTGGAAGACAGGGATCTCCAACTCTGAGATACCTGTTGATGGCTCTGATGATTGAAAAGTTCTTCCCCAAGTCCCAGCACCTCATAGAGGTGTGACTGTGAGAATGAAGTCATTAAGTATGAATTGCTATAATTATGTTGAGCCAAAACCTCACTCTTTTTTTCTTGCATTCTTGTGTGTGAAGTATGCATACTGGAGGGGGGAGGTGCTCGCTCACACACATGCCAGAGGTTGACATCAGGTCTCTTCCTCCATTATGCCCCACTTTATTTACTGAGGCAGGTTCTCTCACTAAACCCAGAATACACTGTTTCTGCTAGTCTAAGTAGGCACCTTGTTCTGGGGATCCTCTGTCTTTACCTCCTGAGTGCTCAAATCACAGACAGTCACTACACCTGCCTGGCTTTTGCATGGATTCTGGGGATCTCAACTCTGGGCCTCATGTTTGCACAGCAAGTTCCTTGTCTCTGGGCCATCTCCCCAGCTCTGCTCTTGCCTTTTTTCTCCTGTGAAATTTATTACCTAAAGTTTCATGCCTGACCATCCTTTCAGGGAAATCAGACCAAATGGAGCTGATTAAACCTAGAATCTTACAAAGCACATGTTGTTTCTTCTTGACAGAAAGACATGTGGAGTCACTGCTTGACATCTGTCATGAGACAAGCTCTTCTTCAATGGATGTGACAGTTTCCCAAACTGAAAACATCATCTTTCAGAGCATCAGCAGCAATGAGGTAAGAGGACCCACGTAAAGAAACGGGCTAAAAAAATATTAAAGAAAGAAAACAGGGGATGGAGTGTCAGGTCAGCAGTTGAGAATGTACACCGCATTAGCTTGTAAACAACAGAAATTTATTTCTCAGTTCCAGAAACCGAAGGGTTAGAATAGATGTTGCAGGGCTTTTCCTGGGGGATAGGTCAACAAATGTCTAGTCATCTGATAGAGCACAGATGACAGACCAAAGAAAAGATTCCACTTTTCTAGCTAGCTTGGTGACCCAGTGAGTTCATTGATTGTTTAATATTTATGGGTGAGGGGCTATATACAGGAGCATAGGTGACCCAAAGGCAACATGGGTGATGAATCCAGGAAAGCAGCATCCTCGAAACTCAGGATCTACAGGAAGCTCAACTAGAGTCTCTCTCTCTCTCTCTCTTTCTCTCTCTCTCTCTCTCTCTCTGTGGGGGGAGAGGGGTGTGTGTGTGTGTATCTCTCCCTGCCCCCTTCTCCACCCCTCCAGGAATTTTTTACTGCCTATATAACCTCGGGATGGGCCTGAGTCTTGGAAGTTTTATGAGCTTCCTGAATCTTAAGAGTGCCCTCATCCCTGAGGAAGAGGCTGTTTCAGTTCAGAGGCCATTGCTACACAACACACACACATACACACTGGCAGTCTTTGGTTCATTCCTCATTCTGGCTCTCTGGTGTCTTGAATAAGGTCACTAAGCCCATTGCAAGAGCTCCACGTTCATGAACTAATTAGGTCCCAAAGGTTCTGCTTCCTACCACCATCTCTTTGAGAGTTAGGACTCCAACATAAAGTCCTTGTTGGGAGACAGGCATTCCATCTGTCTGTAATCTGTCATGTATGTGGATAACACTGAGGTTGTTGTAGCTTTGTCTGTACTAAATACCATGCCATTTATTTTTAGATAATTTTTCATTCTTTCATTATTATTTTCCTTTCAGTGTCAGACTCTTTTCACTTTAGCACATTTTTAGCTTCCAATGGCATTTAAATTTTTGAATTAAATTTATTTATGGGGAGTAGAACTCACAGGCGTGTTATAGTACACATGGAAGTCAGCAGACAACTTTTGGAAGTCAGTTCTCTCTTCATACCATGTAGGTCCCAGGATCAAGCTCAGGCTACCATTCTTGGCAGCAAGTGGCTTTCCCCATTGAGACATTTCCTTGACACCCAATGGCGTTTTTATGAAATCTGTTCACAGTCTAGTTTCCTATGCTTTACATTCTCCCTACCCTTCCTTCTCTTAGGGTTTAGAGTCTTCTGGTAGTTGTAGTGTTTTGAAAGCTCACAAGGCTAGAGTTATAGGACTTAGTTATAGGATTGGGACCAAGAAATGCCCTTTGCATTTGGAAACTTAGTTTTGAGTCAGGTCCCATGTATCCCAGGCTGACCTCAAACTCCCTATATAGCCAAGACTGACTTTGAACCACACACACCTCTGCTCTGTTGCCCAAGAGTTCAGGTTACAAATATGTGCCACCATGCCCAGTTCTTTATGGTGCTGGGGACATTGAGTTACACCCCAGCCTGGCTGTAGAAATTTAAAAGCACAAAATCAATTGTAACTTCCAGTAAAGGAGCATATCATCAATAATGACTCTGAGGCTGGCAAGATGCTTCAGAAGGTAAAGACGCTTACCACTGGGACTGGAGAGATGGCTCAGAGCTTGGGAGCACTGGCTGCTCTTCCAGAGGATCCAGGTTCAATTCCCAGCACCCACATGGCAGCTCACAGCTGTCTGTAACTATACAGGGGATACGACACCCTCACACAGACATGAATGCAGACAAAACACCAATACACATAAAATAACATTAAATAAAATCTTACAAAGAAGAAGAAGAAGGAGAAGAAGAAGAAGAAGAAGAAGAAGAAGAAGAAGAAGAAGAAGAAGAAGAAGAAGAAGAAGAAGAAGAAAGTTCCTTCCCACCAAGTCTGGCTACCTGAGTTTAGTCCCTGGGACCCACATGGTACAAATAGACAAAGGAATCCTACAGTCTGTCTTCTGGTCTCTGCATGTTCACTTGTGAGTATAAGCCTGTGGATTCACATGTACACACATGCAAAGTTAAATAAAAATACATTTTAAAACACAATGACTTCTACCATACTAAGAAAACACTTTTAAAGACCTCAAAGTACTTTTCATAAATCAAGTTGGCTTTCAAGAATAGGATTATTTTCTAGAAGGCCCAAGGAAGTTTGAGAAGTTGCACCCTATGATCAATCAGTTCAGAAATCAGCCCTGGTGAAAACTGTAATCCGCTTTGCTGCCTGCTTCTGTCCCGGGTTCTATCTGCAACTTCCATGGGGGTGGGGTTTTCTTCTGCAATGCCCCAGGGAAGAGCTGTGGAAACCACTTTGTTCCTCTAGGGTTGCTTCCCTGCTACTGTGGCCGAAGGATTCTTTCCACTTACTCTTGCTATGGGATTCAGGGCAGATTAGCAGCCCGGATGCTAAAACCATAAAGTAGAAAACACTGAGGGTCCCTATGCTTGTGTTTCAGCTTTGATCTTCAGTTTTCATTAAGCAATTAATCACATCTGCTCCAAGGGCTGAACCTTCCTTATTGGTTTTAGTCCTAAATATTTTATCCATTTAAGAAGGAATATTTGGTTACAAACTTTAGCCTTGGAAAGTCAACATTCACCCTGTCTAAAAGATACTATGATGGTTCACTGTATTGATGCTTACATTAAAAAAAAAAACAACAGTGTGTTCGTACCTGTGCATGCATGTGGGGGCCAGAGGTCAGACTTAATTGTGGTTTTTTGAGACAAGGT